AGTTAACAGTTGACGTTGAAGTTTATTATTATACGGTCATAGACCCGAAAATACAAAAATAAGCACATTATATAAAATATACAGAATAAGTAAGTTGTTAAAACATATCAGCATTATAAAACATGAGTCATGTAGTTGTCTTATTATAACATTTTGCGAATTCTTAAAACTGTGAATAAAAACTTAGCCACCGACTGTGTTATTAGTTGGTTCTCTCCGGAGAGCAAAAACTTCAATAATAGATTATTCACATGGATAGAGGAGGAGGATATCTTAGGGAACGAACAGGCTGGTTTTAGGAAGAACCGCTCCCCTTTTCACCACTGTATAGTACTGAATCACCTTGCAGAGAAGTATATGGGCTGTCATGGGAACGGCTTGTTTGCAGCTTTTATAGATTTAAAGTCAGTTAACAGTTCTGGCACAAGCCTCCAAGATGGGGAGCCACTTTTGCTTCTACAGTATCTCTTGGGCCCAGTGGTTGTAGTGACAACAGGGTGTGAAATCATTTCTTTGCCTTTGTATGTAAGCCCATTCCAGCCTTATAAATGGCTAGATGCAACATGTCAGGCAGATTCTTCTCTCTCTCTCTCTCTCTCTCTCTCTCTGGGGATTGCAGCAGCAACATAGAAAAGAAAACCACAAATAAGACACCCCCCCTCAATGAACCCATGATTTACAATAGCTGGGAGTTCTCAGGAAACAGCATAGCTAAGCAAAACTAGTATTAAATCATATGCTTTACTCAAGTGTGTTTATATTAAAACTCACAGATAATTCCTACACAATTTTCCTTGTAAAACTGTGTTGTTTGAAAAATAAGTTTTAATTCAGATTTACAATCCCAAATGTTTCTACTGATCACCAGTCCTATGTATTATATGACTGGAAAACTTATAGAACCAATAGTATTCTTATACACTTGGTTTCATGAGCAATGTGCAAATTAATATGTACTTCCAGGTGTTTATGATTGTCTTATGCTGTGTCTACATCACTAGGACCACAGAAAGCTGCCTTATCCTGGAGTCAGATCATTGGGCTTTTGTTGTTTAGCTGTTAAGTCGTGTCCGACTCTTCGTGACCTCATAGACCAGAGCATACCAGGCCCTCCTGTCTTCCACTGCCTCCCGGAGTTGGGTTAAATTCATGTTGGTCGCTTCGATGACACTGTCCAACCATCTCATCCTCTGTCGTCCCCTTCTCCTCTTGCCTTTACACTTTCCCAACATCAGGGTCTTTTCCAGGGAGTCTTCTCTTCTTATCAGCTGGCCAAAGTAGTGGAGCCTCAGCTTCAGGATCTGTTCTTCCAGTGAGCATTCAGGGTTGATTTCCTTCAAAATGGATAGGTTTGTTCTCTTTGCAGTCCAGGGGACTCTCAAGAGTCTCCTCCAGCACCACAATTCAAAAGCTTCAATTCTTTGGCGATCAGTCTTCTTATACTGCCACCTCGGAGTGGCAATAACTTGCCAAGATTTCAGGCTGAAATTCTTTCCTTTCCTTCCCTAGAAATCCCAGTGGGTTTCCTATCTAAGGACTAACCACAGCCAATCTGGCTTAGTTGATAAAACTGGGAAAGATCAGGGTGGTACTATAGTTACTAGAAACCTCTCGCTGTATCAGAAGCAACACATATATAGTAGCTGAAGCCAACTGCACAACTGCACCCTGAGGAGGAGGTCTGCTAAGGGCAAAGCTGGTGATAGAATCCACCACAACGTATTGGCAGGATCTCAAATACTGGTTAGCTTAATGAAAGGGGCTTATGCAAACACACTAGATTTCTAAGATCTTCCCCCTTCCAAATACGCTAAATCTTGAAGCTTCAGAAAGAAATTGCCAGGCACCATTCCTGGTTGCTATTTGAGAAAAAGAAATAAAAAGATGCAATCCTATGTCTGCTTACTTACTCCCATTGATTAAATCTGTTTAGGACTGGTCAATAAATCTCCCCCAGACTCGCAGATGTTGTCAGCACCTATTCCACAAAGCAAAAGCTGATAAAAGATGAAATGGGAAGCAAGGGTATCCCTCCAGGCCTATTAAAAGTTTGCTCCTCATCTCTTTCCTCTTCTGTGCTCTAACTTTTATTGATCATCAACCTGTAGGCAGGACCTGTCTTTTGCTGACTATGTGTTAACCAGTTTTGGACAGATGAACAAGATAAAAACCATTTAAATAAATAAATGTAGATAGACAGATTAGATAGTGAGATAAAATACAGAGATTAGAGAAATGAGAGAGATATTATGTGCGTTCAATTTTTTTTAAACTGCAATTTAGGATGTTCTAGAATCAAACCTTTTAAACCTTCTCGAACCAAACAGGAACTTTATAGTGCAGTGGTTAAACTGCAGTACTGCAGTGAGGACCCTGCTCACAACCTGAGTTCAATCCTGGGCTCAAGTAGGCAGGTCAAAGCTGACTCAACCTTGCATCCTTCCAAGGTCAGTAAATTGAACAACTCGTGGGGGGTGGGGCAATGTGAAGCCTGCATAATTAAACTGTAAATTACCCAAAGAGAGTTTTAAGCACTATGGGGTGGTGTATATATATTGCTTTTTAAGCAAAGCAAGCACACTTTGCCTTGCTTTGCTTAAAAATCAGCTGATCAGGTGCATATTGAAAATAACAATGACAGTTTTTCCCAAGGAAACTGCCAGACGGAATATTCAAGAGATAAGCACATCAATTCACTGCACCTGATGCCTCAAGCCACAAGGGGATTGCACTGATTTTAGAGTTGTGATCCCTGCTAGGCTGTGCAACAACCCAGGGGATCAGCATGGGTGACAAAGTGCAGCACAACACAATGCAGTGTGAAGGGACCACAGAATGAGAGCTTGTACAACCAGGTTTCACTTTGCCAGCACAAAGCCACTTAAATTACTGAATTATATAAACAGCACTGCAGATATCCTGCTGCAGCCTATGATCTATTATGTCACCAGAGAGTTTATGGCTCAATATGAGGGTCAACCCGCACTCTTGAACAGATCTTGGCTCTATTACATTTTCTGTTCAAGATAATAATCAGATCAATTGAAAGGAACATTATCAAGTGAACAGCTTCTTGATATTCAGCTTACCTTCCAATGGGTGAGCACTGCATTACTATGATAAGGAAGCTGCATCTATTTTAGTTAACAATCTGGGGTTGCCAGTTCAACCAATGAAGCTAGCACCACAATTGCAACTACCATAGGATAAAAATTGATCCCCTCCTTGATGTGCTGATTATCAGCACTGAGAAGTTTAAGTAGTCTGCTTTTGCCCTGTTTAATATTCTGCTTATTCTCCTACTGAGGAGGCAAATCATGAGTTAAAGACACTTTTAAATAGCAATGGCCAGACTGACATTTAAAAATTACAGATCAACATGGCAGGAAGCATATTTTAACTCTTTACATTAAACCACAGCAAAATAACCTTTGAAAGCAATTTAGTAAAACTACCTGCCTTAAGGTAAATAAAAATAATACTGCAATATTTGTAAGAACTCAATCAATTCCTGTGAACTTTTTGCCTTTAAAGGTGATCTTTAATGTTCTGTGTTAAGTTTTGTAAAATAATATAATAAAACAATGCATCTATATATAGATCTTATTTTTTCTATCATTGCTATTCCTGTAAGTTATGAAATAATCCATTACTAAAATAGATCTTGTAATAAATTAGCCTGGTATCAGCTCCCATTACATAGATACACACATATACACAGAGAGAGAGCAAAAACTCTTAAAACATATATAAAACCTATCTGTGAAATAATAGTAAGCTTAGCTGGAAGGGACCCTATGGATCATTAAGTCCACCCCCTGTCAAGAAGGCACAGTGGAGAATTTAAAATATTTTCATCCTGACTCAAAAAGAACACAAGGTGGCTAATACTATTAAAAGACAATATTTAAAGGGGAAAACAATTGAGTATACAAATACTAAAACAGATCAAACAAATACCACTCTGAGACATGATAAACAAAAGGAATACTAAAAACACATTTGAAGTAGTAAGGCACAACAATCCATTTGAAAACCTCACTCAGGCAGACAGTCACTGAGATAAAGCTTGCCTGAAGAGAAAGGTCTTTGCCTGTGTAGAAGGACAGCAAAGATGGGGCCAGTCTGGCCTCCTGTGGGAGGGAGTTCCAGAGTCTAGAAGCAGCAACAAAGAAAGCCCTCTCTGTCCCCACCAAATGCACCTGTGAAGGTGGGAAAACCAAGAGAAAGACCCTCTTTTGATGACCTCAACAAGTTCATAATGGGAGATGCAGTCTTTGAGGTAGCTTGAACGCAAGCCATTTAGGGGTTTACAGGTAAAGCCCTAAATGGCTTTAAATTGTTCCTGGAAATGGACTGACAGCCAGCGGAGCTGTTTTAACGGGAGGGGTTATGTGTTCTTTGTAGCTAGCCCAATCAGCAATCTAGTTGCTACTTTCTTTGTGATGAAATATATCTGGAATTTCAGCAGCAGGGTAGAAATGCATATTTCAAACAATGGCCAAAATCCTGTTAGCGATTTTCACATGTATACATCAATTGGCATAACATACCACAGCAAACTGCCACTAACTAACAAGGTACCATTTGTACTGTATTACTTGGCAAATGCTGTTGCACAATCAGGTGTATGCCTCTTATTGTGACCATTGTCTGGTTAGTTAGCAGCAGCTCACTGCAATGTGTTACACAATTACAATTAAGCACATGTAAATCACCCACAGAATTCTGGCCAGTATCTTTTTTAAAGTATGCTATTTCAAGAAGCGTCACCAAGTCTCTAATTTTCTACTAAACTGTGACAGTAAATTAAGTTACAGGAACATAAAAACCATATACAAGCATAACAGTGCCAGCTGCTAAGGAGTGCTGACTAAATATTGATTCACTGAAATGTCATGCAACTCAAGAGCAACTAGGATAATTAAGCAATTTATTGTGGTTTAGTATTTATACACACTCGTAACAGAATTTAGATATAATGGTGATTTGTTTCTTACCATAGTGAGGAATGATTGCCCAAGCCATGGCTGATGCATAGATGCCTCCAATCATCCAAAACATGCAAAGCCAACTTAAATGTTCTCCACGTTTTTCCCGAGCAAGGACTTCAGCAAAGTATGAGAACACAACTGGAACAGCTCCACCAATCCTAATTGAAAACAGAGTGTGAATTAAAGAAGATAGCACAAAATACAAAGAGATACTGTATGTCTTTCTCAGCTTCATTATTCCTTTCCTGAAAAGCATCCCCAGTAACTCTTTAAATATGTGAGATTTTTCATTACTATACCTGTGAATGGCAGTTACTTAAGACATCTAAGAAGCCTTTGACAATTTTTTTGTTAAGAAAATATCGATATTATAATGAGTATTTATTTTATTTGTTTCCATGTTTATACCACCCTATTAGTGTTGCCAATCTCTGGGTTGCTCACAATACACAGAAAAATCATAAAACCACTACATAATAATACAGAAGTACAACAAAATACAATTAACCCTGTCACTAGTGTCACTAGCTAAAAACTATCTTTAAATAAACATACAAATTAAAACCCATTTGAGCATCTCAGGACCATATTTATAATTGGTAGGAAGCAGGTTTATATGTCTAATTTGGTCTTATTTAGCTTCCTAAAAACAGAGTAGGGATCATGCCTGGTGAACCTTTGTAGGAAGAATGTTCCAGAGGGAGGTGACTACAACTGAGAGTTTAGTTCGTTTTGCTGGCTTTTTTGGCCTCCTTAGGTGGTAGTAATGTTAATTAGTAATGGTGCTGAATAGATATTTCTGGTTTTTGTATTTGCAAGAGTTTTCCATAAATTGCACAAATTGTGAAAATATGTAGCTAAAATTCCATAGCTACTGCCCTGTTGGATTGTCTTTTTAAAGTTAGAAACACCTGGATGGGTTGATTATGACTTTTTGATCTATCACCCAATCATTCTGTGCTTGCTGCGCATATGCTTTGAATTAAATTTTAAGAGATATTTTGTGCAAACTCCAGAAACCCTGGTAAACAAAATGTTCATCTTCTCACAATGGAGGCGACAATTCTCCTGAAAGTTGACAAACTCAAGAGGCTGCCTTGATATATTGATAGTTTATTCCATTGATAGCAAACAATTATCTTCATATCCCTATTATATACTGACTTCAACATACGATACTGTTACTTGCTCTACCCTATGGGGAGGGACACATACAAACCTGAGATATTCATGGGACCCAAATAATATTTAGGAGCCACTTCCTCCAGTGCTTAAGTGTTTATTAGGCAACTCTGCATGATATAACAGATCATGAACCCATGTCACAGCATGTGATGGTCAAACATAACAATGTACAGTGGTGCCTCGCATAGCGAGGTTAATCCGTTCCGGATTAACCTTCGCTATGCGAAAACATCGCTAAACGGGAATAAAAAAGCCATAGAAATGCACTGAACTTCGTTCAATGCGTTCCTATGGCTTTAAAACTCACCATTAAGCGATGTTGTCCCATAGCGCCACCATTTTCGCACCCTCGGTGAGCGAGGGCAGAGCGCGAAAATGCGGCGCGGACCTTCCGGCGGCCATTTTGGAACCGCCGATCAGCTGTTCTCCTGGCTTCGTTATGCGATATTCGCTAAGCGAAACGCTTAGCGAATATCGCAAAGCGAAAAATCCCCATAGCGGCCATCGCTGAGCGAATGCTCCAGCGATGGCCCAGAGCGCCTCGTTAAGCGATTTCATCGCTCAGCGAGGCGCTCGTTAAGCGAGGCACCACTGTAATATTGTTTGTAATATTTGAATGCTTGCAAATTTGCTCAACCTCAATTTAAAGTGCTTCTTCTGACACTGTATGAAACAAACAGCAAACTCCTACATAAACTTTCACTCCTTCAGGACAGCAAAAAGGTCAGCAAATCTTTTATCAGTATTCACAGAATACATGGGTATTCACTGTATTTTACCTAGATATCTTGTTCTGTGCATTAAAAACTTTTCATTTTGTATAAAAAGCCTAATTTTTCTTGCATAAATGATTGCTCTCCAATGTCTTCTGCAATGGTCCTGTCCAAGAGGGGAGGCATCTCTCTGCTCCACATCCTCTGCAGACAGCCCCCTGATGAGTCCCAAATCTCCTCACTCCTGGTTAGAAGGATAGGGGTTCTACGCCTTCGGCAAGATTGCAGAGAACCTCAGGTCTCCCCTTGCTTCACTCTGCCCCACTCCAGTGCTACCCTACTCTTCTAGCCATCATTGCATCTTCTATTTTGCTCCAACTCTAATGTCCCCATCTAGGCATCTTTCCAGCATCAGCTCATCACTGGGTAACCAGCTTGCTCATGGTGCACTGCAGTGCTAACCTATGGGCATGGCAGCGCCTGGCAGCCCTGTCAGGTCTTTGTTAGCAGCAGGCTTGAAATATGTCAGTTAAAAATGGAATAAATAAATGAATACTAGAAATCTTTTTAAAAAAAAAGAATGAATCATGTCATGCGGAATTATGGTAATGCTGGAAGCGAACTATAAATATTTATCACTTGTAAACTGCTTACATTTTTACTAAACAGTGACATTTGGCACAGAAAGCAACAGGACAAATTTGTTCACAAGTACAAGTTAGTAACTTCTAAGGTTTTTGCCATCAACATACAAGAAATGTGAAATGGCTCCTAATCAACCTAAGCTGCTCAACCCATCTGAAATTAAACCTTTGATTACCGTAAGCTTCTGAATTCAGATGTCACCGGTGACCACAGGGCTTAAGAAAACATGCAAGACAACAGTCATAACTATTTTAAATACTGTGGCCAAAACACTTTTGCCAAATTCCATGGGCATAAGGATGATTGCTGTGATTGTTTTCTGTTTTGTTTCGTTTGCAAGTTGCCAGCCTTCTGCCATACACCCAGTGAATGACTGAATACCCAATACACAGCCCAGGCGTAGGCATCGATCTGTTTAACCAATCCCTTCTCAAGCCATGCACAGACTCATGGGGCCCAAATGTGGTTCCCCATACCCCAGCTCCTCCATATACCCAAATTTATTTTTTAAAGGACATTCTTCAAAACAGCCCCCTAGGTTCTGTAAGGATATAAGGACCAATTCTGCCATGTCATAACAGTCTGCAGTACCTCTGTGCTCCATTGCCCTAAAATTTAAGCTTCTAAAAAGATTGCCACTAGAGGGCACAGGGGAGCTTTTTCACACAGACATAAAGGACAGTAAATAGAAAGAAGCATTTACAGTATAGGGGTAGAGATGCAAGGGGGTATAGTTTTCTGAGGATCAGGGCTAGATGTGTGCCACCATCTGGAAGGTGTCCAGCCCTGCTCTAAATTTTTGTAGGCCATAAAACTGCAAACAGAAATTGGCAGAGATATAGAGGGCACACTTTGACAATTCCCTCCAAAAGGGATGTAGGAGAAAGTCGTTTATCAAAAATGTCAGCACAAATTTAGTAACTTCAAAGTTTGTGAATGAATATGCAAACCAAGCCACAGTTACATTTGCTCTCCTCTGAATTTTGCAATAAAGTTTACTACATAATATTGTGGAAAGTGAACACATAATTCACACATTACAGGACATGAAACTCAAAATACATTACAGAGACAGAAATTCTTGGGGAAATACAAAAATATGATTGGAGACACAGGAGAGAACAGATTGGAAACAAAATTAAGACTGGAAATCAAAAGAAACGCCAGAGGCAACAGATTAGTCCTTCCTTACCCTTCAGCTCAAGTACCTGATGGATTGTCTTTTTCTCTTCTCCCTCCTGGCTCAGCTTGTTTGTTGTTTAGAAATTCCTATTCATCTGTCCCCTTGCCAATTTCCACAGGCAGAATGATATGCACACAAAACAGCAGGTGCAGATAAAATTCTTATTTAAGAAGACAGCTCTCCTACCCTCTTTCATATCTCAGTCACTCGTCTGTTTATTTAATACAAAAACATATCCTATAATGGTAATTAAATCCTCACCTCACCTTCTGTAACAAAAAAGGTCTTCTCATCATATGACTGATACATATCTCCTGAGTGATATATACCTGGAATATTGGAGTGTTCCTTCACATAAATTGCAATTGTTCTCTGCTCAAGAATTCTGTTTCAAGCCACATCTGCCAATTATATTTGTATGGTACAAGAGGCAAACTGTACTGTGTGAAAACAGCCACCCTTTCCAAGTCATTCTCCCTGCTACCATTCAAACAACCACATCAGAATTGCTGTCATCCTTGAGAAATTACTTTTTTTACATTGTACTATTTTCAGGCACAATTAGTGTCCCCCCCTCCTTTAAAACAAATCTTCAAGCTTCTGATTCTGATACTGGTACTGTATCATGGGCTGTGGAAGTGACAACAATGACCGACTCCTGGAAAGTAATTTGCAAGATCTGAGAAGGTGGCTGCATCTCGGGAGAAGAAAGACTGATACAGTAATGGTGGAAGTCTGAAGGAATTTATACTTCCCATTTTCCTTTCTTTGGCTCCTCCTGCGGTACAGACACCTGGCATTTCAACTTGGAAGAGGAACAGCATTTAACATAGAATGCCTGTGGGTTTGGCTAAATGGCCAAATTAGAACAAGCAGAATTGGACTAAATAGAGTCACTTGTTTGATTAAGGTCATATAGAGGTTCATTGTGTGATTCTTATGCTAGGATGAGGTCGTTTCTGGCCAGGAAACCACCCTGCACCTCAAGTGACCCTCCTCAAGATCTTCTTTCACTTTAAATTGAGAATTTTACAATTGAAAAACAGGAAGCTTTCCCTTTAAATCTTCCTTGGAAGAAAGACAAAGAAAGGAAGAAAGGCCAAAAAATAAAAAGTCCCATTTGTTTTTAATGGTTGCTAAATGATGCAGCAAATCAACAATGCTTTGACAGCACTTAATAAAAAAACTTTCAAAGCACCACTGATACCTTAACAACAGTTAAAAACAAATACAAAAAGTTTCTCAGAAGAAGTTTACAGTTCAGCGGTTTCTTCAAGGGACTGCCTGCCAGCTGCTCTGACTTGATTCCAGCGATTTCTCTAGAATCGAACCAAAATGAAGCAATCCTGTCTGCACCTTAAAAACTGTAACCTCTGACAGGGACCCAGAAGAATGCGGGTAGGAATGTTCTAGCAGTGGTTCCCAATCTTGTATCCCCAGATGTTCTTGGATTAAAACTCCCAGAAGCCTTTCACCACCTCTGCTGGCCAGGTTTTCTGGGAGTTGTAGTCCAAGGGGACCCAAAGTTGGGAACCACTGCTCTAGGGAGTGGGCTGGTTCACCCTAGCAATTGTGTCATCTGATTGCTGGCAAATCCAGCCCAGCCCCAGAGTGGACCAAAGAGCTTTTAAAGGGGGAGTGGGTGACATAAAGAGGAAACAGAGAATTTGGGGGGGGGGTACACAAACAGGGGAAAATGTTGAATTTCTTTTTAAATGAAGAACAATGAAAGAACAATTGTACTGTTGCCACCTGCTAACCAAAGGGGAAAAAACTGAGGATAAAAGGGAGCAACTTAGGCACAGGAGAGACAGGGGATGGAGCTGCCCCAAAAACAAGGCTCCGTAAGTGCAGAAGATCCCATAGGTGTGAGTCACTGAGACCATCAAGAAAAACAAGAGTTTCTGCCTACAGGGTATTTGTATTAGTTAGCTATTCAGTTATTATAAAGATTCAGAAACTTGTGTGGGGTGTGTGTTATATTGAGCAGTATCAGATCCCTAACAGGGTTTTTTTCTCTCTCTTTTTCTTAAACTTCATTTTATTGCATTTCACATAAGGTAGAAACAAAACAAAGAGAGTCAGAGAGAAAAGGAAGGGAAGTGGTTCACAAGGGGGCAGGCCAGTTTTACAATTTCTTCACTCTGTAACATTTTGGGTCTTCTCATGATTTGTTAATCATTCTTACAATTACTCCTTCACTTATTTTTAATAATCATCCCAATATTTGCTGCATACATGAATGTCCATACCCAAAGTTTTAAGAGTCTATAGATATCTATATATCTTATCAAAGACTCTAAAATTCAAAACTGTATGGTATTAATTCATTTTTTTCCTGTCTAGCAAAAAGTCCAATAAAGGCTTCCAAGTTAGTCTAAAGTTCCTTAATGCTTTGTCCTTTTATAAGGTCTGAGAGTTTTGCCAGGGTTTTCAAAGTATGAAGCCAATTTAAGCCCCAGTCCTACAAATGCCACATGCATCCCCAGTGAGCTTCTATGGCCACTGCTGGGTCCCGCTCAATAATCTGGCAGGAAACCTACCTGCCATATATCCTTACCTGAATAACGAGTGATATATGTTATTCTTCTACCTTCTCATTAATCACAACTATTGCTAGCAACAGCTAAAATTTATACTATAAATCGTAAAAGTGACACAGAGAGGGAGCATCATTTCCTAGGCACTGACAAATCTGCTGCCATGCAGCGGTGTAGGAGCAGGAAGAAACAATGATCACAATATGCCTTCAAAACAAGGGACTCTGAAAACATCTGCCTTGTTCTAAAACTCTGGGAGACTTTTTGGACAGACACTCAACTCGAAAACAAGGTCTATTTATTCACACACGCCTTATTTTAAAAATAAATTGTATCTTTTTATTTTTGTCTGCACATTGCCTTGGTGACTTAGTGGCAAATGCAGCAGTAGGAGCAGAGGGTGGATCCTATGAAAACAGGAAAGGGGAATACATAATAGCAATACCACTATAAAGAAGGACTTCTGGCACGCTGAAGACCAAATGACAGAACATAAGCATTATGCTTTATTGCAGCATAAGCCTTCTGCTACTGCATCTGATGAAGTGGACTTTGTCCCACAACAGTTTAGCATCACACTACATCTGTGAGGCTGCATCCTATACACTCACTTTCTCTCTCTCTGTGGAATAACACAGATCTGTTCAGCAGGCCTTGTATCTCAGGATACACAGACAGAATTGTAGGTCTGAAACAGGATGGTGGCAGGATTGTAGCATCCAGATTAGACCATAGCACTGACTTTTAAGGTACTCCCTTGCTTGTACGGTAACAAACTAAGACAACCAGCTCTCTGGAAGCCATTTCCAAAAAGAGTGGCTCTCACAAGAACGCTTCTGCACTACACACTTCAGTGAGGAAGTTTTGATTTTTGAACTCAAATCAGTTGTAAAGTTAAAGACAACAGGCAAATCCTGTTGTGTAAATTTATGCCAGTGCAACCCAGATAGGGTGCCAGAAAGGATTAGTTTAACCTAAGGGCAAGTTTTCTGTTCTACCCACCCCTGTTCTGAGGCTTCCTAGGGCTGGTCTGGGGAAGCCTTTGGACATGGGATGTGTGTGAGCTTTTAACATTTAAAAAAATCACTTCCAGATCTTCACCACCAAGATAGGGAATGCCCCAAATCTTTATAACTTGCAAAAAAGAGAGAGTCCTTAATGACCTCTTTGTTTGAAAAGCAAAATACATATGCATATATGTGTGCACACAGACATAGTAAGCACAGGGACATCAAGTTGACAATACGACAATCTCTTTGACTGAAGCAGAACTGTTATATCTTAAAATTAGATCTGTAGATCTGAGGGTATGCACAGCTTGGCTATTTCCAGTTGTAAGCTTTATGGTATAAACCTTTTAAATAAATATATAAATAGAACAAAGAAGATTTCAAGTATTTCAATAATTAAAAGCTAGGTACTGTATTACAGAATGTTTCAGGGGAAATTGGATAGACAGACTATTGACTAGATTGGCGAGAGGGGAAGTAAATTAGTACTATGAACATCATGGTGTTTAAGATGAATTCTTGAACAGAACCTCCAGTTTGAGTGGAAAGGATATCTGAATTACAACTTCATGACAGAAATACAGAAGAATGTGTTTTCACAAGAAATTAAATATCCTACGTCAATTAATGCAAGACATTGCTTTCAAAGTGAGAGAGGTAGCTTGTATCTTACACAACATGGCAACAGTTGTACATGTGGATATGTTACTTCATATCCATCATTACAGTTAGGCTGAATTTATGGTTCTTCCAAAGGCATCCTCAGATTGCTCAGCTCTGCCTTTTTCAGACAGAAAAATAGTTCATTTCTCAGAAAGAGAGATTTGATTCACTGTGTCTTCTCCTGTTCTTAAAGAAACCTGCACATTCCGTATGTTGTTTAAAGAAGAATTCCAACATGACGACACTGTTGAAGACGAGGTGGGAAGACAGAAGCCGAAGCTATCCCAGCTCACAGAACACTCCTAATATGCAGGAAATTTTAAACAAACACTAATAATAATAAAAATAATGAGCCATCAAGTCAATTCTGACTTACGGTGACCCTTTTCATGGTTTTCTAGGTAGAGAGTACTCAGAAGTGGTTTACCATTCTCTTCTTCTAGGGGCACTTCTGGGACTGTGCAACTAGAGCAACAGTAGCTGGCTCTATTCACAGGAGGTACAGTGGGAAACTGAACTCTTAACTCACACTAGGGTGGCATAAATAACATCCCTCTCACTGTTTGCAAAGGAAGGGAAATCAGACAATACCATGCACCCACAGAGAAGGAAGGAAGGAAGGAAGGAAGGAAGGAAGGAAGGAAGGAAGGAAGGAAGGAAGGAAGGACGGGCACTGATAATCTATCCATTCCATCTTTTCAGCATGGGCCTAGAAGGCTTTAGATCTGTTAGAGACTCTGATGCAGAGGTCTCAATTTTTTCAGAAGGCCTAGTGGAGTGTAGATAGATTTTTAACACTTTTTTGAGAGAGAGAGAGAGAGAGAGAGAATTGAAACAACGAAATAAATAAGTAGGGCAGATTTGCTAGCTGTTCATGGAAAACAAAGTATTTATGATTGATTTAATAATAGGAGAAAGGATTAAAATACCATCCAAATACATGAAAAACTGATATATTCTTCATTGAGAATGGATTAAGAAACAGTTGAAATACATAGCTGGAGGTAAAACTTTACACATCTAATATGACTGAAAGAGAAATTACAAATGCATGATTAAACAAAATGCTTTTCATGTGGAAACAGAAGATCTGTAATAGAAGGTGTTATCTTAAGGGAAAATATATACTAATATTGGGCTGGATCCATTCCAGACTCAAGTCACTGAAATCACTCTGCCTACTCTAGCACTGGAAGTCTGTATTTAATCCACCATGCAAGATTTTCTTGCCAAAGATTGATAATATAACAAAGTATTTATTGCTTATTTATTTTATGTATGTATTATGTAATAACATAAATAAGTACATAAATATCACAATAGGGGATCTCAGCTCTTTGTATCTATATATTCCTCCATAACACTGCTTAAAAATATTTTATGGGATACAATGATGTATGTGGAGGTTTACGTTCCTAGCCACATCATGGCCTTTTAAATATCCCAGCAGATCAAGTGAAAGAAATGAATACTCCAGGTTTTCCACCATTCTTTCCTTGCTGGATTCCATCCTGATCCCAGGGCAACAGAGGAGAATCTGACAGCACTGTACCACAAGGAAGGGAAAAACCAAGGCAAGAAACAACAGGCTACCTGCCTGTAATTGTAGTTCTTCGGGTGGACCTCTGTGATTCACACCCTGGGTGATCTGTGCCTGCGCGGAGCCTCATCGGAAAGTTCTAGACTAGAACTTTCTGATGAGGCTCCATGCAGGTGTGGATTACCCAGCGTGTGATTCAGGGGCCATGAAGAAGAGCTCTGTTTGATACCCATATACAGTACCCTTAAATTTATGCTTTTGAAGGTGAGTTGGGAGCATTGGTTAATAAGCTTTCCCATAAAACAGGAAAATGTAAAGTTAATTTAAAAAATTAAAGATAGCAAAGGACTGCTTACCCAAATCCAGAAAGTAATCGACAGAAGAGAAAGAAGCCATAGCCCTGGACAAATGATGAAAGGAAGGCAAAGAATCCATTGACAGACATGCATATCAGAAGAGACTGTCTCCTTCCCACCTTGTCTGCCAAGCCTCCCCAGAAGAATGCCCCCACCATCATCCCAAGGTATACTATGCTACCTGCAACACACAAAAAAAGAACAAGTTACATTATAAAGAATGCATAGCTCTTGATAACAAATCATATCAAATTGTTGCTCTTCCAGTCTTGCAAGACATGGTTTAATTGTGAAGGCACAATACCTAGAGAATCCTAACATATATGCAAATACAAATAACAACTACAGTACAGCCACTGAAACAACTGCTGAATGATGTCAGCATTCATGTAACTCCTACTTCAGTTGGAACTCACAACTGAATTTAGGTCCTTGCAGCACACATTCCCAAGAAGTTAAGATAGACAGCTCACAGATACAGCATGGGCAGCTCACAGTCTCGCAGGTGAGGACTTCAACCGACCTATACAGAAAGACCCTTCCCCTTACCATTAAGAGCAGAGGCCGTGAATGCATTGCAGATGGCTAATCTGCATACCCATTTATGGAGGAAACAACAGTACTTTAAATGTACATATTTCATGTGGTCTTACTAAAAACATATTCAAGTTAAAGTTAGCTCCAAGAAAGCAAGACAAAAGACAAGCAAATATAGACTTCAAGTTCCATGCCGAACACACAATAACTTCTACTTCTAGAATAAATACGTCTTAAGAGAATTTCATTTTCTTTAGCTAGATGGTGGTTTCTCTTAAATGCACATATAAGAAAATATTTGCGATTGGCCATGCAACAGAATCAAGACAAGTCTTACAATTTATGTTCCACAGTCACAAAAGTGAGGAACCACAGTTATTTAGATTGCAATTCTATATCTGCTTACCTAAGAATAAACCTCACTTCACTCAGTGGGGATTATTCTAGGTAAGTAAATGGACATAGTTGTTTACTAGACTTATCAGGAAAAGGCACTTAACAAAATGAGCTGGGAATTTTTGCATGTGCATATGTATGTGCAAGACTTGGCATCTCATTCTATATTAGAGAAGGCACTGTTAATTGTATTTCCTCTCACTATTTCATGCAGCGCTGGTTCTTCAAAAATGTCCTGTTCAGCAAATGCTTGCTGGAGCAAAAACAAGACCCTTCTCTTTTGTGACCTATTTATAATTTGGTTCAGAGCTACTAATAAATGGTGCCATCACTAATGAACTACTTCTTAATAAGCTAATTTCTATTCTGAGAGATCAATAAATAATGGTTTCCTCTCCTTCCCGCCTCCTCTTTCAATAAACATGAAAAAAGAATCCAATAATGAGAAGAAAACTGTAATTAAACAAGCTTCCAAACAAAAACAAATAAACAAACAAAAAATCCAACCAGAACCAGAGTGGGGGACAACTCAAAATTGTGCCAAAATTGCACAGAACAACAAGATGCAATAAGAAAAGCATCAGGTACTGCTTTATTACTCTACCCATGTATTTCTAAAAACTGACCTAGCCATGCACTACTCAATTCACATGTTGATGTGTAATTGACAGAGCTATACTGCACCTCTTTGCATTGCTCCCATGGCCCCATGCTGTGCCAGCCTGATCTCCCCAATATACAATTACTAAATAAGATTTATCTTGGATGGTAGTTTCCATGTCATGAGCAACTCTCTGTAAGAACAGGTTCTTTAAACACGTAAGTATCTGGATTTCATGACATACCTTAAAGTAAGCAGATGCTGTTCACATATAAGTGTTCCTTGGTGCACATCTACAGAAGGGCAGTTCTACAATATACATCATTTCAATGGAATTAATAGGTCAATAAAATGTGAGCACTTTGCCAATGTTGGAGCATGGCTCTACTGAAATCTGTTGCGATAAAGGCACTGGGGTTTCCTATTCAAAGAAAGTTTTAAATGTTTAACTATATCACCCAGAACATCCTAACCAACACACTCATTGTCCATGTCCAAAAAATATCATTACTGGGCCCTTGTATGTATGCAGTATGTGAATATGAGGGAGGGGGCTCTTTTCCCACATGCAGAAGAATATAAGAATATGTTATATACAGTATGGGTATCTGCCAAACTACACTTTTACATGAGTTGTTCTATTTCGAAGAAAACTAGATATGCAGAATGAGCACACTGCATATCCATTATGGAAAGAATATAACATAATAACCAGAAACAGTTTTTTTTTCATATAGGGATATAGGAGAAAGCACATTTACCATCAAATTTTCAGCTTTCTGAGCTGTCTGATTTGGGGCTGCACAGCAGGGTTAAGATTCCCTCATACTGGAGCCCTGATCGCCAAAACATATCGCCAAAGTAGCTATTAAGTTTGGAAGGAAAAACTTAACACCTCACAGCTTGATTCCTGCAAGATTCTGCTCTAGCGTATCTACATCCTAATTAAGACAACACAGGGTTCTGCTGATGGAAACAACATGTGTGGACCAGACCTTAGCAATATTTCCAAAACTCAGAAATACATTAAAGGTCCCTTTTTTCCTGTACCCCTAAAGAAGCAGGATGAATAACTTTTCAGTTCATAACTGTTCACTGTTTCTATTTGTATAAAATAAGCACTTTTTCTCAAAAGGGATGACTCTAGTTATGAAATCCTTTACATCTCTGAATGCCTTCAAAAATGCATGGAGTTGGTCTTGCATTCTGGTTGTTTGAGAATTTTGTCTTCAAACAGCACTATCAATATAACTGGAAAGACACACAAGAACATCCATTATGTGTGACAGTGTGGGTGGGTGGGCTCCAGAAAGACCAAGCCTGAAAAGAAGATGGAGATTTGCAAGGGAAGATAGGGTGGGTAGCCTGATATAAATCGACAGAGTTCCAATAGTTCAAGTTTCTGTATCAACAAGAAACCGCAGAAGTGGAAAGAATATTCTAAATGTGGACTTGTTTGTTCAGATAGGAAAAAGGAACAAGGCTGGCTATAACCAGTTTTCTAGACCAGTGGTTCTTAACCTTTGTTACTCAGATGCTTTTGAACTGCAACTCCCAGAAACCCCAGTCAGCACAGCAGGTGGTGAAGCCTTCTGGGAGTTGCAGTCCAAAACTCCTGAGTAACCCAAGGTTAAGAACCAGTGGTCTAGACAAGAAAGGAGAAGCAGGCTAGCTGAAGCCACGTCTATGGCAGATGGAATAAACTGTACACTGAAAGCAAGCATTCCTGCATGGTAGCAGATTGTATCTGCCCAGGAAATCAGAGTCTGGCCGCTGCTTGCCCACAAGGGAGTTCTATGCCTATAAGAAGGAAGACCCAGGAGGAGACAGGTGGGCTTCGACAGCACTGCAACGATTTCTCTCATCACCCTTGTTGAGAGACTGATTACCTGCAAGAGAAGGGTCTTTTGGGTATCTGTGTGAATGGAAGTATGAAAGAGAGGTATCTTGGTACCTTTTGTCTTATGTCTTAACAATAAATGTTACATGACTAGTGCTTAACTCAAAATTATTGGTGTATGGTCTTCTTGTCAGTAGTCTGGCTAGGCTCTATCTCTCTTTCGTCTCTTGGTCCCTCTCCCTAGGATATAAAGAACAGTAACCCATCTCTCTCTCAATATATAATTGCATTAATATATAAAGTCAGCATCAACTTTGTAGCACATAAATAACATAATCTTAGGCATCCAGTATAAAATTCTTATTGATTTGCTCATTCTAGGAAGGAAGAGTTGCTTAACTATATTTAGCTGCAATTCCTGTTTTTCTCATAAGTATTTGCTTTCTGACTTATGAAACAAGGCTCATAATGTACAGTACTTTATTTATTATTTATGAAATGTTCCAATAAGCTCTGGAAAATTGGGAAGCACTGGCCCTCTCCCATGAACAGCAGTATTCTTTGTATGCGGCAAAAAGAGTGGATCTAGCAACATCACTCTATTTATCTCACTCCATTCTGTAAATGTCTCTGTTGCAAAATCCTGCGCATCATTTTACTTGCAATGGGAAATTCATGCAACAGTCCTAGAGTTACTGGACTCTGATATCTCCTGTCCTAGGACCTGGATGTATATTAAATGTTTCCAGTCTGTGGGACACTGTTTGTTTTCATATCTGGCAGCAATTCTTGTTAGGATTTGAGAATGGCTTTCACTTCACTTTCTCAAACTGCAGGTTCATGACAGGCTATGTCTTTAAAAGAATGTCATCCTTGTCTGACCAGGTAATAAGTTCTTCTCTTAATCTAGTCAGCATCCCAAATCAAGGCTTAGATTTTCCTTTGATTTCTTGCTCTCTCACTTTTCTTCTCCTGTTGTACTATCATAATAATTCTCTTTGTTATCTATGCCATAGTCAGTGAAAAGCTGTGTTGAAGATCCTAATACTATTTTTGTCACTTTTTGTCTGTCCTGAACAATTTTAAAGGGTTCATCAGTCAATTATTTAGGCTTTTTTCTTCTTCTTCTGATTAAAAAGCCAGTCTTTTTGGATTCTTCCATGATAATATCTCTGGTTTAAATCCATAGTTCTTCTGGTTCATGGTCATTTGATTTTAATGATTCAAATCTCTTCTTTGTAGAGTTCAAATTCATCAAAATGCTATTTAAATTAGATGTTGACACTATAATTTTACAGCCATAGAAATGTAAAAATAATATCTGTCTCTGGTCATTTACTCCTGACAGTTAAAACTGCCCACCAGTTTTTATGAAGATGAAATACGGCATCTATAAGACAGAATTACTGAAAATGAAGGTAATCCCAGGTAATGATTTGAGGTTCCTGACAGGTTCCTTTTTGTACTAGCATCAGACATATTATTTTGACGATACCTTCTCTTATCCAATAGTTCCCTCTGGCATTAGAGAGAAAATCCTAACTGACAAGCCTGAGATAAAGCATATTTTGTTAAGTCTTCGTAATGCCTCTAATGCCTGGTTTCACTTTCCTCTGCAACTGAGGTTCCTGTCCACCACTACCAGACTTTTGATGTTAAAAGCAGCAACAGCATTCACGTAGCTCTAAATTGACCCTGTCATGGTAACAAATTGGTGTGACTCTGCAATTTGAAATGCATTCTTATGGCAATGCTCCAGGCTCAGGATGATTATGAATAGTACATGTGACTCTATAGCACAGTGTTT